ACAAAAAACTTGAAGATATTAACTAAAATGATGGTTAAAACTAACAGGGAAATATACCAGCGAGAGCTGGTGGAAGTTCTCGTTATCGCTCTAACGAAGTGAAATCTACCTTAGAAATCCCATATTTAGTTGGAGATAACTTCGTACGTTATCCATGAAACACTGTTTACTTTCTAAGCGTGCGAGAGAGCGTGGGAGAGAAAGAGGRAGAGTGGGAGGGAGGGAGGGAGCAAGGAAGAGCTAGTGGAGCTCCAAAATCGTTTTAGAAGGCCAGTGAGCTTGGTAGAGAGGGATGAGCAAGAGAAAAGCGCATCTCCCTGAGGTAATATCGCAATGAAATCTGCTTTAGTCCCTGTAGAGAAGCCACTATGGTTCCCCATGGTTTATCCTCGGACCTGGCTTAATCCTACCGCCCTCCTCTTCTCTCTCTCTCTCTCTCTCTCTTCATCTCTCTTGCTCGTAATACCGACTACACGCTGCGCGTAACGCAAATTCATGTCGTCGGGGTGTTCCCTGTCAAATTAGGATGAACCATAACGCATACATTATGGAAAGCAACACGATTCACCCAACTATGTGTGTCTCTCGCTCTTACATACAAATACACGCGTACGCGCCTATACTCACACACATATATATATATATATATTTATATATATACATGCAATATCATGGTTCCAAGTTATTTCAAAGCATATCTTTGAAAAGTGATATTAAAACGGACAAAGAGAGAAAAATTCTTTATACGACTTCTCTCTGCAGAGAGTCTATTTTCTAAGAAGTGGACAAAGATCGATTTTCTATAAAAGACATTTGTATTGTAAAAATTGTAATATTTATTTCTATTTTATTCTATATGATATGTGTGTACCTATCTTAGAATTATTTATGACAAACTAAAAGACGGCAAGACAAGATATTTCGAATTTTTATAAATGATTTATATTTAATAGTTCCTAAATATAGGCAACATTTTGTACTTCGTCGATAATATGATTCACGAACGTCGTTTATCGATTTGAACAAGTTTTAATCCCTTACAGTAGGCAATTTATTTGTATAGATATGTAAATAGGATGTTGGCTTGCTATTAGAGACTAAAAGTTATCTATGAATTACTAGCACAAGCAAGACGCGTAGTATTTATTAGCATAAATTATAGAAAATCGATAAATATTCCTAATTGATTATAATCGAGATCGTTTTAAACTAAATATAACATCTCAGAGTTGATATAAATCCAATGAATTATAAAGATAAAAAATTGATTACTTGTAAAAAATGCAAAGCTTATTATTATTCAGTGTATCAGTTTTAAATATCAATAAGATTTTTGATTATCTTATAATCAAATTGAAGATCAAATCAGATAATGTATAATGAATGTTAATGAAAGTGTGTAATGGCTCGTCACACGATATTTGTTCTAATATTCTGTTGTAACTATTCGATCTTTATAAATTTGACATTATTCATTAGAGGTATATTCAAATAGAGAATAATATTCAGGAACTCTCGGTGATAAATAAACCATATACAGCCTGTCTCTGCATCGTGTTTCCCAAGTAACGGATGAGTCAATCATTTATGCTTCACGCATACGGATCTAACCATCGTTCTATCCAATTTGCAAAAGATTCAAAACATCCCTGGTGCTACATTTTAACTAGTAACATCCCCATTACCAATTCATTCCTTTGATTAAAAATATTTGCCATTTCGTATCAAATGATATTTGACAAATTTGAAACTTTACAAAAAATGTATTATCAGAAATAAAATAAAGAAAAAGAGAGAGAGAGAGAGAGAGTGTGTGTGTGTTTGCGTGAGAGATATATACAGTTATTATCTTATTAGACGTCGTCTTCGAATATACAGAGTATAATACGTCAGATAGTTCTGTATTTCTCTTTAAATTGGGATCAAACTTTGCAGAATATGAAACTAGTAGAATGGGAAGAAGGATAGTAGGAGTATTTAGTAAAGACCATAGGACGGTGGAGCCGCATGTTTCGCGAACATCCGATGTTGCATATCCAAGGGAACTCGAACTAACATAAGACAGATGACGGAAGAGGAATCGTCTGGGAAACTCGACTTAGCACGGTTGGCACATTGGCGAGCCACAAGAGCCGATCGAAGATCTTCCACACCTATATTCAAGTTCATGCAAACACACTAATACGAACGCGCATAGCATACCTATACATGTAAAAGCTCTTACATCTCCGAGGTAAAGACTCCTCGATCGTTTCAGGAAGGAACGATCGTTAATCCGATTTCCCTCTCAGTAGTGACGATCCATTCTCCTTCTCTCTCTCTCTCTCTCTCTCTCTCTCTCTCTCTTTCTATGAATTTGCGATTCCAACCGATCCCACGCTTCTGCACTCGCCGTCGTTATTGCAGTCACGTTGCCAAAGGTACGCGCTTAGAGCAAGTCCCTTTTACGCTCTAGGAGTTCCTTTTACCCTCTTCACGAATCCAACATCCAGCGAGCTCCTCTTGCACGTGAGTCATAGACGCATGCTGAACTAGACGTAGAAATTAATTCCTTCTAACGTTTCTATGTTATTAACTAACTTCGATTTATGATTTCTATGCGTTAGATGAAAGCTTTCTAGACGTTATTATCGAACCACTAAAACTATCTACTAAAGATGGAAACAAGATCTATCTTCATTAGTCATTTATTAATATTATTAATATTACTTGATGTCATTTTGGATGGCATAGAAATATCGTAGCTATTTATAAATATGTACATTAACGGGTTGAAAGGTTTTGAGCCGGATATATATAGAGACAATTTTTATTTATATATTTTTTATTTTTGCGGTCAAATTTATTTTTATTTTTTTTTATCGAGACTCATAACTTTTCAACCCATCCTCGTATATTCGATTGAAATATTTAATATATTGCATACATTTATCTTAAAATCGTTCGTAAAAGCTTTTCGGGCAACCAATACAATCATACGTTAGGTTGTCCGAAAAGTTTCATCGAACAAAATTCTATATAAAAATATCAATCGGGGCACACGAACAATTCAATACATATTATTATTATTATTATTATTATTAATATTAATTAATAAATTATTTACATAGAAAAGAAAGAAGAAAAATGAAAATAAATGAAAAACTTTAACAAGAAGAAGATTTATAATAAATATAAGTAAAGTAAGAAAAGTAAAAGTTTTCTCATTCGATATGAACAAAAAAAAAATATGGTGATGATGGTCGTTTCGCGAAAATTCGTGGTTTAAATTGGCTGAGATATTTCAGGATTCGACGTTGCGGGTTACATTGCGGGATAACCACGCGGAAAGTTATCCGCAGGGAAGGTAGCATTAATCAAATGAAGCGGTTTCCGTTATAGCGAAGGCGAAGATGACTCCGCCGAGCTGCCTTCCGCTAACGTAAGGATAATCAATCCAGCGAATTAGATCAGATAGCTGGCTTGCTACGTGCGCCAACTTTGTCTCCCTGGATTTATTCTCTCCCTCTCCTCTTCCCACTCCATTCTCCTTCTTTCTCTCTCTCTCTCTCTCTCTCGAAGAAGAAGAAGAAGAAGAAGAAGAAGAAGAAGAAGGAACAGGATAGATAAAGATGGTCTCTAGCTCTGATAATTGACTTGATTTTCTTACTTCTCCTATCTCAACAAAATTTCTATTTTTCTTCTTTAAACTATAAAAAGTTATTTTTTAAATAATTCCTCTTGATGAGATTATTATTTGTTCTCTTTTTCTATCTATCTTTCATTTTTATTTATTCTCTTCTTTTATGCAAGGATAAAACAAGCTCGTTACTTCAAGTTTTTATTAAGAAATCAAAAATAATTCACGTGTACTATTAATAAAAATACCTAACGTTGTGTTTTCTTACTAAAAACGTGTATATAAGTTGTTGAGAAATTGTAAAAAAAAAAAAAAAAAATAGAAAAGGAACAAGACACGACCTACTTGAAAATAATCTCTCTTTTTCTTTTTCCCTCTCTCGCTCTCTCTCTCTAGTTCATTTTTGCAGTTCACTGTTAAAAATGTTATCTATAAAATTATCTATTCATTCTTTCGTTAGCAACGTAATAAAGAAATAAAATAAAAATGAAACGAACTAAACTCGACTCTGTGTACGTATAATTAAATACAATTGTAAAATCTTTAGAAACATTGTATACACACAATATATTTTTATTATATAAAATTAAAATCGTTTTTACGAAAAAGCACAATCTAGAGTAATTCGTTTACTACAACGATAAAAATAATCATGTTCAAAAAGCGTGTCTGTTGGTAATTTAAAAGATCTCTTTTACTGTTTCTTCAATAAAATCTGTTCACTTACTTTCTTTGACCTATTATGCACGATGATAATGAAAATTGTCAGGTTCTCTTCAATTTAAATCAAGAGAAACGTTAAAATAATCATCCTGTCGATTTTCATTTTTATTTTCAAAGTGTTCTACAATTATTAAAGGTAATATTACATATTATATTTATGTATATATATATATATATATATATGTGTGTGTATTTTTTTGTTTTTAATAAAATAAACGCATCGTGCTACAATACTGCACCAAAGGTACTATAAAATGTTACAAAAATGCAGGAGCGTTTGACGCTTTACGAGCATTTTGGCGATATTCCTTACCATAGTTAGCTTCCCCCCCTGCCCACCCTCTCCTGACATTTCTTTCCCCTTCTCTCTGTGATTGAACACAGTTTACATGGTAATACATTAAACTTTATTACTAGATAGGACGTTTGGTATTTTGATTGCTTATTATTTGAGTACTTTAATAATAGCTAAGATATACATAAATATATTTTGCGAATGATACGCCGCAGTTTTAAATTGGGTTTACACGTTATTTACGAAGATCGCCTACTTTATTATAATTGCAGGAGAAAAAAGTATATTATGGAGTAGAGAAAAATACATTTTCTTACGACACTGTAAAATTTTGGCTTAGTTTTTTCTGTGTTTGATTTTTCGAAAAAAAAAAAAAAAAAAAGAAAAATTGACGAACATCATTTGGAAGAGCCAAAGAGTATTTTATTCGCTACTCCTCAAAACAACGGACCCCATCCTATGATAAATATTTTCTAAAACTCGATATCGACTGCTTATTTTCACATAAACTGTCCGTTCACATCTAACTTCCTGCTAATCGATGATATAACAAATAATGTTATAGTTACAAAGCTCCATTGCGTATACCTTAAAATAGCAGTCTTTTAATTCTAGATACTGATCTTTTACGTAAAATGCTTAATAAGTATATATATATATATAATACATGCCTAAACACAAGGTTCAACATAATTGCCGGGAAATAATCCGGTTATTCCATCCATCACTCCTTCCCACCAACCATCATCGTTCTTTTTTAAAACGTAAATAACAGAGCTCTCTTGAAAACTCAGTTCGTCTTCCTTATCGGCATAATAATCATAAATAGCAACAACTAAAATGATTCATTTGTATTAAATCAATCCATACGTTGTATTACCATATTTCAAATAAATTCAACTTACCTTTCTCGATATAATTTTTAGGTACCCAACCAGGCAAATCTTCTTCATCCGGTACAATAGGCATTATAGCACCACTTGAAGGAGTTGGCCTACCAAATTGAGGATGCTCCTCTTGTTCCGGAGGCGGAGGAGGTGGTAGTGGTGGACTGCTAGCACCGCTACTTCGACTAATTTGATGTGCTAATCTATGCGGTAAAGTATGGTGCCCACTATAATCAGCCATATCTCCACTGATACCGACCAGTGGAGAAGGTGGTGCTAAAACAATCATTTAGTAATTAAATGATCTTAAAGTTACTACTACAAAAAAATGAACTTATAATAAGTTTTACTTACGGGGCATATTATTATGTTGCTCCTGTATATATCCTGCAGCTCCTGTTACACTTGGCGGTGCTGGCGGTGGAGTCTGCGGATGACTTTGTAACGGATGGACTGTACCCACTTGAGGTGGAGAAGTATGTTGTGTCATATTATTTGTGTGTGTAGAATGATTGGCATTGTGAACAGAATGAGAAGTCGTATGAGCATGCAATGGTAAAGTACTATATCCTGGGCCACGCTCGCGTCGTGGATGACCCAATGGATAATTTGGCGCATAATGACTAGGAACTTGAGGTGGAGCAACCGCAGGTGGGGTTCTGTATTCTCGAGAACCTTTACTCAGTGTTCCTATTAATGAAAGAAATGGTTATTATAGAAATTATAATATTTCAATTGTTGAATACTTCCAAATAATTATGAATCATTCTTACCAGTCCTTACTGTTTGTGGAGGAGTCGGTGGCTTAGTTGTAGGAGCAGGTCCCACCATAGCAGCAGCTAAACCAGAGCCAGTAGACGTTGCACCCAAACTCTGAACGCTACCTTGACTACCTCCCCTTTCTTTACTTCTCGGTGTGCCACTGCTACGTACACCATGGCCGATGTCATCCAAAATTGTATAATCTATGCTTTTTCTTACATATTTAATAGGCTTTTCAGGATTTGCAGGTGCTATAATTTTATATTGACGGGCTGTCATTTTGTTAGCCGTTAATACACCTATCTCTCGCCTAGCAACTTTTTCTTTATGTATCATTACAGTTTGAGCAATATGATTCATTTGACTTTCCATCTCAGCTAATTGAGATGTTTGTAAATCTAATAATTGAAGAAAATTATAAGCGAGAGTATTTATTTGATACGCTACACTAGCTAACGATTGAGTCGTATAATTCTTTGTTTCTTCTAACGCAATCCTTTTATTGTCCGCTTGAAAATAGTTAGCCTCACAATAATCCGCAACACGTTCAAGATTAGTATAACTGTCGGCAAGATTGTGTCTTCCCTCAGGAATTTCCTGATGCAGCAAAGCCGCTAGTTCGGCCATGACTTCTGAATCGCTGCCTACTCCGGAAGACACGCAATAAGAACCAGATCCTTGCATTTGAAAATACAAAATGCATTAGAAATTTAATTCATCCTTATAATAAATTGAAACAATATGACATTTTTTTTTCATGAAACAAATGTAAAAAGAACAAGAAAATACGAAAAAAAAAACAAAATATGAGTCATGCTTTATATGATCATCATTATATTTATTTGTGATTATTCAATTTGAACATATTTGACAACTATTAAAGAAGACATTCAAGTCACATAAGTGATTTATGATTATGAAAATGAAGGAAAAAGTATGGTTATGTTAAAGCGAATAAAATAGATAATTGATTAGAGATTACGATAAAAGTTAAATATTAAGTGATTGACATATGAAACTTGGTATTTAATAAACGATAAAAATTATGTATGAAGGATGTGATGACGAACATGCAGGAGAAGCAAGATGGAGATCAAAGATGAACATTTCCTTTTTTGACGTTAAAACAACACTGCAAAATGAAATATAATGAAGGTATATAAATTGAACTAACGATACTCAGCCATATCGCAACTACCAGCTACTACTCTGCTGCATTAATTCATAATTACCAGGATTCTTCTTATTTTTGGATAAAAAAATAATGAAACAATTTACTTTACGCTTTACGACAAAACTATCTGTCACGACAGGTACAATCGAACGGTATGCATTCGATAACGATATATAAACGATATATAAACGATATATCTAAATAATCGCACTTTCATCGATACCTAATGTAACCTAACTTTACGTGACACTCTTTTAGATTTAAAGAAAGATAGATACATGCAAGTTAAAAAGCACTGAAAGCATATAAAAGAAAATATAAGAGAAGGATGGAGAAATTTGAATCGAGATTTTCGATAAATCGCAAATACGTAAAGTACTAAAGTAACCTCGAATTTTGCGATTCGATATATCGTTTAATATGAATAAAATGCGATAATTGTATAGCAAAGCAAAGAGAATAGTCTGATGAAAGTCTAGGAAGCATCTCTTTGTTGGAATTAAATGATTTTTACTGTTTTATAGATATCATATTTATTTAATAATCAAAGAATAATAATTTAATCGAAAGTAAGACCTGTCACTTTTTTTAACTCTAGGATAGGTTAGAAATTGTAAGTTTTTGTATAAAAAGGAAATACACAAAGGATATAATGTTCCATGGGGAACAATTTATATATATATAATAATAATATAATATATCTTGAAGAAAATTTCAATTTTAACACATTAACCTTTCATTCTGTCAAAATTCTACATTGCAATATATAATGGACAACCTCATAAATAAATTTGAAGATTTAAAGATACCAGAAACTACAATGACAGAAGAACTATGGTTAAAATGGATTGATGTTGTAGAAAATAGTTTTGTACCACAGAAAATATGTGGCAATGAACGACCACTCGAGGAAGAAGACTTCAGAGAATATAGAGCTATAGTGGATAGAAATTTAAATAATATTAAAATGATGTTAGAATCTGTTCTAGAAAAGTGTAAGGAAACTAATAAACGAATAGATTGTGACAGTATATTAGGAAAAACATTTGGTATGAATTTATTATACTTGATTGGAGAAATGCATGAGAAAAATGTTTGGAACACTGCAGAATCAGTGAAAATTTCCAAAACATTATCTTCTTATTTCTGTCAATTATATGTCTATGAAAACGTTAAAGACTTTATATGGCTAGGTAATAATATTGTTGTGATGTTTGAAAAGTTTAGATACAAATTGCAACGTGACACTTGGAAAACTTATCCATCTGCTGTTGCATGGTACAAATGGTTCATACATCATATAAAGGTATTTTAATATTTCAACTTTAATTTGAAATATTCATTTCATTTGATTTGATATTCTCTAATAAGGAGACTTATTATTAATCACATTTTTATTACAGGGATTTACTCCATTCAAGATTCGTGAAGTATTATTTCCAACGATTCTAATAATTCTTGATGATTATGTACCCGAAAATATAGTCAAAGGATTAGAATGCTTACATTTACTTACAAATAACTCTTGTCCATTATTGGTTGGTAAAATAATTATATGTATATATATTAATATAAATTACAATAATGTCAGTACGAATATTATAATTTAACATAATATTTATTTGCAGAAAAAAGAATTTATAGAAACTGGTTATGCAGAAGCAATTTATTACTCATTAGAACGTCTAGCTCATCAAAGAAATGTGATATATACTGTACCCTTGTATTTGTGTTTAAAAGATATCTTAGAAATGCTGGACATGCATGATAATATTAATTTATTTGAGGTACATATTTTTATATTAATGTCTTAAATGTTTGTTTATTATTAAATAATATATATATTATTAATGTGCATATGTTTACAGTGGAATAAACGAGATGTAATACTTTCAATATTATTAAGTCATATGGAATTTGAACAAGATGTAGAATTACGTCATGCTTATATGTTAAGTTTACCACAACTTCTTAGCATTGGTAGTACCAAATGGTGTGACAAAATTGCAAGAATACTTTCTGATTATTGTAAACATCAGACAGATCTTAGAACTTTGAAAGTTACGGTAAAGGTAAGAAATAAAACTATAATAAATTAGATTTAAAAAAAAAAGATATTTATAAAATATTCTTTGTTAATACAGGCTGTCAAAGTTTATATTATGATGTTCAACTTTCGAGTAGTGTCAAAATATGTATCATTGTGTAAGGAATTAATAGAATTACGTTTTGATTTAATGAAAACACCTATATTTGATATGGAAATAGTGCAAAATTTAGAAGATTGCATTTTTTATTTCTATAAAAATCCACCCAGTGCAGGCTGTTTTCATAATGATTGTTACAAACCTCAAATACAAGGTCTGAGTTATAATAAATATTTGGAATAAATGTTCTCTAAGTCATTTTATAAATAATATTATTCAATTAATAGATAACGACCGATGGAATCTGTAATCTTATACAAATTTGTAGAATTCAGCGTATACTATTTGTATCTCAAAATACAATCTTTTATCATAATATTACTTCGGACATTTTTATTCTTCATAAATATCTCAATTCATCTAGACTAAATTATCTTAAGTAGATCTTGTATAAATTGTTTTACAAAACCTGATAAAAGTGTTATGTAATGTATTAATCTATCCAAAATAATGAAATTTTCAAATTTAGCCAAACATTTTAGGATCTTATGATGACTATACTTATCTTAACTTTCGATGTTGTCACTTGTTTTAAACATGTAGAATAAATAAGTCTTTGATTATTAAATGTTCTTCTTATGGACTTTAGCATAGATATCAATAATGTTATTATTATTGAATGTGACAAGTCGAAAACACTCCATTAAGATAATGATTATAAGCCCTCCATTAATCGTCAGAAGTGGGGAATATAAAATTAAGACAAAGATATAAATAGTACTTAATCGCCCATAAGAAAGTGCTATCAATAATATTGTTATATTCTTCTCAGACGAAATTGCGTGTAAAGATGTTTTACTTCTTACTATTAATTGTTATTTTCCTAATAACATATGAGTATTACAAATATATAATCAGTAAACCACCAGGAACACCTCCAGGTAAAGATTTCAATGAATATTTTCTTTTATATACATACGATCGTTAGGATAAAATGTCATTCGTTTATATTTTTGTCTGTAATAAAATAGGAATCGTTGGATTGCCGATAATAGGAGCTTATTGGCATTTGTTATGGAAGAATTACAAATATCCACATAAATCATTGAATTATTATACGAAAAAATTAAAATCTAAAGTAATTAGTTGTTATTTGGGCTCGTTTTTTACGGTAATAGCTAATGATTATGAAAGCATAAAAGAAATATTAACGAGAGAAGAATTCGATGGTAGATTAACTGAAGCCTATGCCTTGAAAGCACGTGCATTCAATCAAAAATTAGGTAATTTCATTTGTTATTTGTAAAATTACATTTATAATAAACTTGTTTATTTATTCATTTATGTCAAATGTAATTATATTCAATTTTTTTAGGTATATTCTTTACGGATGGAGAACAGTGGCGAGAACAAAGAAGATTTGCTCTTCGACACATGCGAGACTTTGGATTTGGTCGACGACACGAATCATTTGAAACGAAAAGTAGAGAGGAATTAAATATCTTAATGGATTTGTTAAAGAATGGTCCTATGAATGAAGATGAAAAGGTTCGTTAGATTTATTTAAAAAAAAAAAAAAAAAATAGAACAAACATGAATTAATTTTGAATTCGATTTTTCTATTGTAGAAAATTTATAATAATGGATTGGCTCTTTTCCCCGATATTTTTTATCAATTCTTTGTAAACAACATATGGGAAATTATGTTTGGATACAGATTTGAACGTAAGGATTATGAAAAACTTCGTTATTTCTCTCGAAATGCAATTAAATTCCAAAGATCAGGCGACACAACAGGTGGTGCTCTCCTCATTTTTCCAATCACATGTCACTTAGGAAATTTATTTTCATTTAAAGATTTAATGGATTCGAATTATGCTATGATCAATTTCATAAAGGTAAATAAAATAAATAATCGCATTTTTTTTTTTGTAACCGTATCACTTAACTTTAGAAATGATTCGAATTGCAGAAATATTTGCATGAATATAAAGCAATGTACGGGGAAGATGACGAACATGGATTTGTTGGCAGATATTTAAAGAAGTTAAAGGAAAACGATCTTCCTTCTTCTTTTTCAGAAGAATATCTTATAATGACACTGATTGATTTCATGTTTCCTAATGCAACTGCGACATCAAGTCTTCTTACGTTTGCTATCAAATTTATGATGCATTTTCCAAATGTTGCGAAAAAAGTGAGAAACGAAATAAACGATGTTATTGGAAGTGGAAGAATACCTACTTGGGAGGACAGAAATAAGTAAGAGTAATTAAATGTTGAATAAAAATAAATACAAATTGACGACATATTTCATTTTTGGGGGGGGGGGAGGGATTAAATTTGAAGACTATTGCTTACTTTGTTTTCTTCACAGACTCCCATACACAGAAGCGACTCTACGTGAAACTATGAGATACGAAACGATTACTCCTTTAAGTGTTGCTCATAGAGCTACTAAGGATACGACATTTCAAGGATACTTCATTCCAGCTAATACGAGTATGATAACCAATTTAGACGGAATGAATAACGATCCCGATTTTTGGGGCGATCCAGAAAACTTTAGACCGGAGAGATTTTTAAAAGACGATGGACAACTTAATAAAGATTTTACGTTACCTTTTGGAGCAGGTAAATCATATCTTGTATTTTTATTCCATTTGTCTGATCGTCTATAATACTATATTCATTTCTCTTAATGATTTATTGAAATAACAAATTAGGACATAGACTGTGCGCTGGTGAAACGTACGCGAGGTTTACGGTATTTGAAGTTTTTGCAACTTTAATGCAAAACTTTGAATTTGACTTCGTCGATGGTCAACCGACAAGCTTAGAAGATAAATTTCCTGGCATCATTACTACTCCAAAAGAAACTTGGATTCGTTTAAATCCATTTATTTAAAGTGCATTTTATTCGATCAACAAAAATATTGACATATATATATATATTAAGCACGTTACATTTAAACAATAATATTTACTATTAGAGGTATGCTTATTAGATATATTTCGAATAATATATAAATTGTAATTTTATGATTAGAAAAAAGATAGTAAGTAACTTATTTTGAAAACTATCAAAGACTTACAAGCGAATGAAAAAAGTGATGATATAATAAATGCAATTGCATGAAATAGAAATATTATATTTACACTGAATATATGAATTTGACTAATCTATTTTATCATAGATAATTATAAAATAAACAAAAAATTCTATAGTAATATATTGAACATAGAAAATTCATAAAAAATTTAGAAAATGTTTGCACACGTTATGCATGTACAATTTTTATTATTATTATTATTAGTATTATTATTATGAGTTAGGTTCAAATGTGAAATATATTAATAGCAAATAAAAAAGTTTTTCAATTTTAGAATATAAATGGTATGAGATATTATTTAAATCGGCAATGGATATAATTTGGTATATGTACAATTTCTATTATTATCTTAACAGGATTCTTACATCAGTTTTATGATCAATGACAAGAAAAATCTTAAATATATACAAACCACTATTAAACTGTTGAATAATTTAAACATTTTCCCATTGTGTCTGAATATAATATACTTGTTACTTTCAAGATTAAACAGTCATTATACAAATAATTATTATACCATTATTTTACTTAGTGTTAATCTAGCTAATACATAAATTAAAAAAAATTAGATTTATTTTATGTATTAAATTGATAAGATATATTATTCTATAGCTTCGACATCAATTATTTAAATTTAATTAATCTTGCTATAAGTAGCAAAGCATACATAGTGCATAAAGAACGATAGAATGTGATATATAGTGCAACAATTCTTAAAATTAAGAGCAACGCCCAGGTATGTGTCTCAAAAATATTTTGTACCATTATTTTCTTTATCTAAACAATGAATTTTATAAATCTTGATAGAGAGATCGGTTTATTTAGTTTTTTGTTTTTGTTTTGTTTTGTTTTGTTTTTAATGATAAGCACAAGATCGTGTATGCACATACAAATTTTATTTTGTATATAATTTCACTAATAGCTGAGAAATTGTTCATTTTGTGGCACAATATAAAAGTACTGGAGTCTGTATTTTGTACTCTTTCAATTATTTACCACTGTCACAAGCGATCATTGGTTTTCTAACAAGGTGATGATACATTTTTTTTACAGAAAACAAGTATATGTGAACAGCATACAATTGAAAGGGTATGAAATTTATGCGAACAACAACCCCTGTACAAATGTTTCAATCAATTCATTGTCATCTAATCTTATTACATATTTCGATTAAACGACAAATATGACAGTCTATTATATTAATTTTCTATAAAAAGGTATTCTTATTCTCTGTTAATTAAAACGTATAAACCCAAACAACCTAGAACGGCATATTTAAATTTAGGATATTCATTCATGTAAATAGTAACCATACCCACATAAGGTAAAAATCCTCTTGCTCTACCAACAACGTCTTTATGTGTTAACCATAATTGTCCTTGCGCATATAAACCTCTGTCATCGATAGAATTATTATCACCTTTTGTTAAAAATTTAACAGTATTGTTCTGATCTCCTCTGAAATATGTTTTTTCAAATTCTAGAGAACCGTATAGATAAGAAATAATTTATAATCAAGTAATTCTTAATAAAGCACTTACTTTTCGTGGAGTTTCAGAACCCTATGCACTATCGGTATCTCTCTTCCAACGACTTTGAAAACAACAATTTCTCCTACTCTCATAGGTTCATTCTGATGATTTGTTAAAAATAATAGATCACCTCTATGGAATGCTGGTTCCATACTACCACTAAAACATCAAATAAGAAAAGGGTGTAAAATTAATTGAAATTATACAAATGAATGTACTACTATGTAACATTACATTAAGAAACGTAATAGGTTAGTTTACTGTTATACCTTAAAACAACAACAATGGGACTTTCGCTACCCGTTACAACCATTAAACCTTTCCATATCATTAAAGCCGATGACACGATCATACCAAAGCTCAGCACTTGATACAGGAACTGCAAATAAAAAAACATTCTATTAGACTAAGAATTCTTGAACGACCATATGTGTTTTTTCAACAAATCAAAGCTTACAATTTAAATGGAAATAATTTACCTGTCGTTTATTCATCCGACGTAGATCTTCAAACACTGATTGCAACATCATGGCGATAATATTATATCAATAAAAAAAGTTAATTTTTATAAGGATCGGTGAAAATATTGTTCTACTTTGATTCGATGTAGACAGAACCGGCAAAGCAAGTCAATCAGTAATACCCACGTCACGTAAATACACGACAGGAAACGACAAGGCTGTGTGTACGATTACAGATTGTCAGTCAGTCGGAGGGAAACTTGGCGCTTGCACACTAGCGACCTGAATTTATAGGTTAGTTTTCAAATAACGCGGGAAATTTAGTTATTTTTCTTGCAAAATTACAAAATCATTTCGCGATTGTATATATATATATATATATATAAATATATAGATATATAGATATTGTTTCAAACAAATTGTTTAACCACACAGGAAAGAACATTTAATTATTTACAAAGAATTTGAATTTCGATAAAGAATTCATTATAATATAAATGTATCAGTGTCGCCGTCTGTAATTATTTTCTCTCCGGAAATATGAACAAGTTAATGACAGTAAAAATGAAAGTGCAACTGATACTACTACTTTTGATAAAAAAAAATTGTAGTGATAAAAAATATGTCTTATTTTTATAATATTTTTTATTAGCATTTAAACTTTATAATATAACCAAATGATAATCGGGGGTGTAACTCAGTGGTAGAGTGTCTGCTTCGCATGCTGAAAGTCCTGGGTTCAAATCCCAGCTCCTCCAAAGCTCTTTTTTTTTAATTTTTTTTTTTAATATTTTTTTTTAGGATATAAATGTACACAAGTGTTAAAATATTTTAAATTGTTTATTCAGTCTCATTATTGAACAAAACATGTAGGGTGATTGATTACTTTAATCAATTTATTATTACTTCATTATTTACATATCTATTTTTTAACATGTGTTCATTTATTTTATATTTAATTATGACAGAATTATTATATTGGTTTAAAGTATGCTGAAGAATATCGTCACTCGTAGCTTTGGAATGTCAGAAAAAAAGTAGATGTTCGTCCCGACCCATTGATAAGCACTTGAGCAGCAGGAGATATGGTAATTTCTAACCCAGTCTAATCACTCCTGCGGCACTAGTACTTAGGAACAGGACAGGATGTATTATTATTCATTGTATGTTTATAATTTTTCATTAAGTATCTTCCTTTTTCAATCGTACTGTTGACAATTCTGGAACAATCTTAAAAAAGAAAAAAAAAAGATAAAGTAAACAAAAAAATATAAAAATATATTAACGATTTATTATAGGAAGAGATAATATCATACAATTAGATTCTATAATTAATATAGATTTTTACCTAATTCTTCTGTCCTTCATTCTAGCATAAATCCAACAACAATGGCACGCTTTGTCTTTCCTTTTCATATATCTTCAGTTTCAAGAATATGAAAGTTCTCAATATCGCTGCTATCTTTAAACGAATAATATCTTTCTGAAAAGAGTTAGGGAGGGATAAAAAAGAAGATATGATTACTTAGAGTATTAGATCGAAGGAAAGGAGGAAAATCCTAATTAAGTTCGCCCACGGTTTGTCGGTAGTTCGTTCGACGAAATTAGATAATCGACAGGAGAATGAGACAACGACAACTACAACGACAACGACAACGACAACGACAACGAAGACTATGGCGAATGCTACTCTCTATAATTTCTGTCATTTTATAAAGTAATAAATTAAAGAATGGAACGAGGAAGACGAAGAACAGTGGTGTTAGTTATATTCACGTCAGTAAAAAGTGTCACGAACGTTCTTGTACTTTAATCTTCGTCGATTCGCACAATAATAATGACTATTTTACGATTATTCTTATTACAGATATGTTTTATTTCTTTTTTTTCTTGTAGGTTGTGCTATTGAGGAAAAAACAGGAACTTCATCGTTTTGTTGAACGGTTCAAATGAGATACACTTAATAAATATTACTCCACGATGGCGGACTGACCGACCCAACCGGCGAGTACATCTACCATAATGATGCAATGACAAACACTAGCACTCATTGAACCGACCTCGAGAAGTCATTAAAATCGCCCACTACTGCGTCTCTTCACTTTTTCTCCCCTATCTTTCAGTAGCTTTTTCTTTCTGTATTTAAGTTATCGGACATTCATGGAACGCATACAATTCCTTAATAGAACCTGTTACTATTTTACCCTTGCTATTTGATATTTCAATGAAATGTTAAACGTTCTCACGAATATTGTCGAAATGAATCAACCGGATAAATGATTGAAACATAATCGAACATATGCTGTCAAGAGCATGATTTATTTTACATGAAAACGTATACGAAGTAATCAAATCTTTGATATGTTAAATGTATAACAATCTATTTATTTGTTTTCTCGTTTAATATTGCATTCGTATCACTTAATTTAATTCTCTTAAGAAAAAATCGAGCTATAAATCGAGTTAAATCGAGCTTGCGATATTAGTCGTCGAGTTTCAATTATGAATAAGATACAAATTGAAAAATTGTTTTGTTTTTCTCGATCGAAAGATTCGTCGTTGATTTGTACGTAATTTTATAATGAAAAGATTACCTCTCTATGTGAATATAAAGAGAAGAAAAAAGAACGAGTTTTAAGAGATTGTAAAAAAGAAGATGCTGTTGCATCTGTACGTCGAAGAAGACGACGTAAAGCTGCATAAAAGAGGATTAAAGAGAGAGTTAGAGAAAGAGAAAAGAAGATGCAGGCAAAGGCCGAGACTTGCAAATTTGGTTGGATACATAAACGTGTCGCAAGCACATGCGTGTCCACGCATGACGTTACTTTCTCTCTCTCTCTTCCTCTCTCTTTCTTGTGTTCTGTAGAGACGTGTTATCGCTCTTGCAAAAAAATAATAAGAAGAGAAAAAAAAGGTAGAGAAGGATGGAAAAATAAGTATATAGTATATAAACGAGCAATGAATACTCGTGTGTTAGTGCAACGGAAGAGAGAGAGAGAGAGAGAGAGGGAGGGAAGAAAGAAGAAACGAAGGCAGGATGGACCAGAAGAGTTTGAGAGAAAAAGAGAGAGAGAGAGAGACAGAGAGGGTGAGGGAGAGGGAGAGAAGAACACCAATTAACGCTAATTCCCACTAATGCCGGCTCCCTCTCGATGTTCGTAAAACAGCTTGCCCTTTCAATTTCAAAATGCCTTGTCTGCGGGTACGGCCTGTTAATGATGTGCAGTGTCGACCAGTGGTGCACAAACCGTAAACCTGGAGTAGTATTTTTTTTCTAAGAACTCGTCGAGTTAGCTAACACGAAAATGAGGATCTTTGAATATGGAAAAGGGGAAAAGAGAAGGAATTATTCGATAGATTTTCAAATATAACCGTCTTTTTCTATTATTATTATTATTATTATTTTACGCGATAATTGGATTGATCGAACTGCGAATATAATTGATGATACTTTTTTTATTTTATAAGATGGAAATTAATAAGATTCGCGTTGGAGTAGATCAGGAAATGAATTTCACCTTTGAATCGAAATAAGAGGACAATGATGGAAGAAGGAGAACGTGCGTGTGCGTGTGCGCGCGCGCGCTAAATCTTTCCGGCGGTAAACGATCGTAACTATGACTTCCGCTTACTCATCGAAAGGAAGGTTCGTTCATTCGACGAACCGAGACGACGACCGAGGATCGACTTCGACAAAATTCAAGACAGTAATCTCGTCCTCGAGTTTTCTCGTCCTTAGATGGAGAATATAATCGGTGGTATCTTGACCCTACGACGATTTATTGTTATGGGCTATTCCTTCCTTCGTCTTCATATTTCTTATCCTATCGGCCGAGGTCGCGAGGTCGAACCGATAAACGCTGCCATAGGGCAAATCGTATTTTCAGAACAACAAAATGTTGTCTCTCTAATAATAACGTTCCTCTACGTTTTCTCTCTCTCACTTTTTTTGTTCTTTTCTCTGTTATTGGAAATTCTTCGTAATTAAATCTTGTGTTAGCCGAGGAACTATGTCCATTACATTAAACGACTTCGATGAAAATGGTTGATAACGATTAGAAAGAAAAATATTCAATCGATTAAACATTTTTTTTTTTTTTTTTCATTAAATTAATTCATTAAATTTAATTTTGATAATATCTAAAACAGTAATTTATTGATTCGTTGAATCATTCGGAATATTTTTCTAACTCAATCTTGTTTTTTCTTCTTTTACTTTTATCTTCGTTTAGTTTCTTACTTATAGTTTGCTTATAAACTAAACGACTTATGCGTTAGAACGACGAGAGAGTTTCGATAGAAGCAAACCGAACGCGGAAGATGTGCCTCCGCGTGGAACAATGACGTCAGAAATAGAGGAGCGATAAACAGTGGGGTCATTTTCTGTATATCGAACTAGTTAGGCACTCTTTTAACATAAAGCTTACTTTGTAAAAAAAGAAAAAAGAAAAACGACAAATCATCGTGATTCGACATAATTTCAATAACGAGAGGAAATCGACGAATATAATTCGAATTTAGCGAAGTATAATATTACCCGTATCACACCAATTTTACCTAATTGACGAGAATTTTATACGATCCAATTTGTGTTGCGATGATTATTAATCCACGCGAGGTTTCTTTTAATTCGCACGTTTGTTATTTGATATTTTTCAATATTTCTTTACGTAATTTTTTGTTCTAATGAATTCGCAATGAAACAGACACACGCGATAAGCCGACTACGACAAATCTGCGAGGCAAATCAGATTCGTGTTTTAGTAAGTCAAGTCAACGTTTCGCAATAATGTTCTTTCGAATTTAAAATAAAAAATGAAGAAAGAGAGAAAGAGAGAGAGAGAGAGAGAGAGAGAGAGAATGTTCTCGTGCCCGCGTACAATTTGAAAGTAAGATGATTCGCAAAATGACCGATGAACTGTCTTTAATAGTATTCGTTGCTTTAATTATAAAGAAAAGAAAAGAAAAAAAAAGAACATTTGAAATTAACAATAAATTATAAAAGAAAAATCATTAATATAACGAGATTCATATTTTTAGTTAGCGATTTTATTCGACTTATCGTTGCAAAGAAAAGTTACCACTGTACTCATAATGGCAGACACGTGTTATCCTGATTTCTCTCTCTCTCTCTCTCTCTCTCTCTCTCTCTCTGTCTCTATCTTTTCTTCTTATTCTTTCAATTCGTCAGGAATATAAATTCGGTCAATACGAAGCGATAATTATCTAACATTAGCAAATTTTGTCTCCGTAATAAATAAAACAATCGGCGGAAGTCTCACGATCTTTACCATTTGATGAATTTTATGGAACAAAAATGACATGAAAGAAAAATGTATGCGTGTTACATATATATATGTAAATGTGTATGAACACGAAAATCCTTCGTTATTTAATTTACACACACAGCAAGATAAGTTTTTTTGTGTAGGCGGGCTCTATTCAAGATTGTCCGCGCTTCCTGAATCATTTCGAACTCACAGCAAAACACTTCTTATTTTATTTTTATTTCTTTGTTTTTTGTTTTTTTTTTTCATGAAAAATAACGAATAAAATAATTTTTCTTTTTATCTTCATCGATACAAAATACAAACCAATCAAAATAATGTGAAAAAAAGGAGTTAATTCCATGATCGATTCACAAAACCAAGATCAATTTCTTTCTTTCGTTCGCTTGTTTTTTTGTTTCTCTCCTCTTCTCCTTCCTCCTCGTTACGATGCACAGGAACCAATTAAGGAATACGAAATTGATAGATATTCTACAAGAAAAAAGAAAAAAAAAAAAGATCTTTGTAGAACATAATCAATTTGAAACCGAGAAAGATACGATAATCGCGAGTAGAAGGATCGAGCATGACTGAACCCGCTGTTCTCTTCGAAGCCCCTTTCGACCGATCCCGCATCGCGCGATTCGCGCGCGCACGAGAGGAAGACGAAAAACAGAATCAAAGAGAGACAGAGAAAGAGAGAGAAAGAGAGAGAGAGACAAGAAAAGAAGATGATTTCAATAGATACAGTGTATGATTTTTATGGAAGAAAAACTTGAAATAAAACGCGCGGTCAACCGTGACAAGGGTGGATCGACGACTGAGCGATAAACCTCTCTTGATTGGCTTAATATAGTCCGGCGAGGAGAGTAATTAGCCGCTCCTCGCCGCGCGGGAAATGATTGGTCAATTTAAACCTAGAAACACGGTGCATTAAGCATTCAAGCGGCGTTCACTACCTATTAACGGTTTGCAAGAGAAGGCTCCTCTCGTCGCATCAACCACCACCACTACCACCACCATCACCACCACCACCACCACCATCATCATCATCATCATCATCACCGTATCATCATAGCCATCACCATCACGAGTATCGTCACCTTTCTACGGTGGTTAGTACGGACGACGCTGGACCCTACTGGTACGAATTCTTTCTCTTCCTCTCCCCTTCAACCCCTCTTTCATTCTCTCTCTCTCTCTCTCTCTCTATTTTTTCCCCTCTCCGTTTCAAGTCAATTTACCAATTGAAATCAGTGCCGGACGGTGAGGAACGAAGTCAGTGAATGATCGACCAAGCAATATGCTTCTCTTCCTTCTCTCACGCTCTCTCTCTCTCTCCCTCCCTCTCTTTCTTTCTCTCCCTTTCTATTTCTCTATTTTTCTCTCTTTTATGCTCACACACATACTACGTATACCCAGTCCGTTATCAAACCATTCACCGGCTCGATCGGTCCTCATTGCTCTCGGATCTTCCAACGTGATTGGCCCTGACGATCACGAGATTACGCGTTTGTTCAGCGACAACGCACAATTCTGCTACCACCGTGATCTAGTTGACATTTTCAAATGAAAGACGAGATAATTTTTGTGAAAAGCTTTCCTTATATTTTTCTTCGATGTAAATTTTGATGATGAAAAAAAAGTCTTTAAAAGAGAAACCAAATGAATAATTTGTTATTGATTTTTTTTATTAATTGTATACGAGTCATGATACTCGTTGCAAAATACAAATTATAGTTGCGTTACGTTTCAAAATGTTTCACTTGCAGTTAAAGAAAGATATTCTTTAGAATTTTTGTGCTGTATGCTTTTCCACGTGATAAGTAGCAGCGTCGAGGTGAATTTCTTATTCATCACCAACGGCACTACTACTTAGTACTTGAAAAAACAAATTCAATACTTTGTTCTAATGTTCCTTGAAGATGATCTCGGAGATTTCCTTCGTCGTCGTAGTCGTTCAGTTCTCGACTGATTCAAAATTTCAATATCGGACGAAATTATATACCCAAAGACTGGAGTAAAGTTTAAAAACTATCTGTTAAATAAACATTTGTTCGAATATTTTTTCAAAAAATCGGATATTTATTTTAAAAGAAATACCTTGTACTAAGATTAAAATAGACCTTTGCATTGGGATAACAAGCGTAGAAAAGATATTTTGATTTGTGAACGCAACAACGAGCGTGACTTTATATCGCCCATCGTTACGGTCACAAATCGAAACATCTTTATCGAATTTCACGAAATTATATTGTTCTCCTTTGTTTTCTGAAACAACAAATGAACAAATAAACAAAATCAACGTTAACTCAATCACATTGAATAGTTTAATCGATGTTGATTTTTAAAAATAAACAAACTTTTATCGTCAATCAACAAAAGTTGTTCAAAGTGCAGTTAGATTAGTTTAGGAAAGAGAAATAAGATAAGGAAGAGCATTTGGGAGTCTAATCTATCGTTTGATGAATTCCTCCATAAATTAGCAAACAATAGTAAATGGTAGGCCTGCTGCTAAGCTTGACGGAAGAAGAAGAAGAAGAAGAAGAAGAAGAAGAAGAAGAAGAAGAAAGGGACGAGTTCACCGATTAAACGACAAACAAGCCAGACACGTACTGGCCCTCATACTTCCAACGGTTTATCTATAGAATGTATATAACTACTATTATAATACATGCTACTCTCTGTTCTTTTCTCTTTCTTTCTTTCTGACTCCGAAATGCTTTGGTCATTTCATAATAATAGCACTTTATATGCGAACAACCACCACCCTCTATAGGTTTTCCCATGCGGGCCCACTTTATCCATTTTAAAGGAACGACCAATTTTATTGATATACAATCGTTCATTTCTTTTTTTGTTTTCTTCTTGCCACTTCTATGTTTTCTTCTTCTTCTTTCACCGCACTATATGCATTTGTATTTGATATTATTCTTTCATCGAAACGAATAAATCTTTAATCCTCTTATTCTTCACATAACGACTCTCATTCTCGTTCTTATATTAAATTCACTTAATGAATCGAATTGTCAAACTTTGTTACACCAGAATAAATCTCCAAGTGTTAAAGAATAAATGAAATAGTTCGATGGTTTAAATGAATGCCCAGCGTAAGTTTTATTCGCACTAAGTCGCAATGATCGTCGATATTCGCATATGTTAGAGATATCTGTAACTTTTAGTAGTCAACGACGGTGGCAACGATGACGACAACGACCAATGACGATGACGATAACGAGGACGAGATGGTGATTGATTATATTTCCATCCTTCGTACACTTGTTGAATTTTCCTCGATTCGTCCCGATAAATTGTAGAAAGAAAAGAAAACAATGAGAATAGTTACATTTTGTCTAACTTGTTTCTTATTTTTTTGGAATTGTACAATAAAAAAATCAATTAGCAAAGTAGATATGTTGGCGGTATAAACCGAAATGGAATACGCCTTTAGAAATTGAGCTACTGGCAAACGTACGTAACTAAGTAGTTACACATGCACAGGTGTTTTTTGTGATCACGTGTGCCACATATGCATATTTCTCTCGACCAACGTTGCTCTCAAGAGAGGATCGTGATCGCCCTTTTTTTTATGTGAAATACAAAAATTAGACTAACAAAAAAGAATATTTAGACGTTTCATTTTATTCGATAAAATTGACAAAATAATTAAAAAAAAAAAAAAACAGATCGAGGGTAAAAGTATAGAAATTATTTTCCTTTTTTTTGGTTCAATTTGATTCTAACTTCCAAGAGACAAACTCGTGATAACAAAAAAGAAAGTCTTGTTGGGTTTGATATTTTGTTTCTAAAGTTCCAGGGAAATTCGTGATTAAGTCGCGAAGCACGGCCCCGACGGGTAATTTAGAGGAGTTTATTAAATTAGGTAGAATGCGGTGCGTAGGCCCACGCCGGATACTCGGAGAATGAATCTCATCCAACGAGAGGAAGTTCGAATTAACTCGAGCCACTGCCAAGGGGGTACGACATCGTGTACCCTAATGTGCTGCCCATAAACTCTTGACCTATTTTTTTTTCTTAGCACCTTTCCACGCGCTATCGGACTCTCCGGTCATTGAACGTGATGTTCCATCATTGATAATTCTTTTATGTTCTTTTGTTAGTTTATTTATTTAATCGTTTATAAATTGTACATTATTTTAACTAATTATATAAAAATATCGTACGAACTGAAAAATTAATCTTATTTAAGAAATATTAATCAATTGGTCAGTTAATATAATGATAATTGTAATATGTAATATATATATTACATATTACAATTAATAAGTAGCTAGAATTAATAAGATCGTAAAGCTCGGAAATGTAGAATGTGGTAGATGGTTAAGACTTATTAGAATCGTTTGACCTTTCTACTAACACCATATCTCAACTTTGATGGGTTTACATTGTATGGGAGAAAGAAAGAGAAGGAAATGGTATAGCGAAAAAAAAAGGAGAGAAAGGAAGGGAGAGAAAAGAATTTGAAATGAAATTGAACGTACAAAGAAGAGGACAAAATTATGTGAAATTATTGTATCGTTTTACTGAAATCAACAGCACTCTTCTAACATAAAACTCGATTGATCGATATTTCGATAAGTGCAGATGACAAAAAAATGGTTCTATTGATCATTTACCGAAGTAACTATTGTTCTTGGCTTAAAATATATGAATCAGTGTATGATTAATGAAAATTTTAATCGTGATACGTTTCAATATTTTTGATATCGTTCTAACGATACGATGACCATATAAAAATTCAGCATACATTTTTCTATGTATTTAAATATATTTTTGTATGTATATGTGCATAGATAAATTTTATTTATTCATCATTATTTAATAGAAAATATTTGTATAATTTGATAAATAATTATGTACAAATGATAAGAAGTCAATACTATTATAATAGGCGAGGTAATTATGCTTTTTCGCATATGATGTCCACCACGGTTGCTACCATCAAAACCGGATCTAAACATCTGTGAACTGCGCTTTCAAGAATTTCGTCCAAAAGAAAGTGAACGACGCTGAAAAAGAAACATTACATCATAAATATTAAATTTATTTATGAAGAGAAATTTGATCAAAGATCGCGATACATACTTTTCGTCTGAAACGAATCTCCAAAGATAAAGCTGCAGATAATGCGTGTCAACTTGTATTTGTTGTAAGCCATTTTTGCTAAGCGTTCGTAATCTGACGCATTCCAAAAATGTCTGAAAGAATATCAAAAAATTGTTTATTATAATTTCTGTATACATATATATACAACAGTAATGAGAAACAAGTAAATCTAGACGATTATAAAAGTGTAAAATGTATTGCGTAGCGCGAATTACGTGCAATATGAGAGAGCTATACTGACGCGAGAGTATAATGTACATACGCGATACAAAGTGGATAATAGCTGAGCTATTTTATCATTGGGACTGCTGTACAGCACCTGCACCTATTAAAGTACTTTACATGCTAAAAGTATATTTCTTCCTATGTACGTCAACGACGACGACGCGCGTTGTCCCTTGTATAATATTATTAATAAATTATGATACGTTCAATTACCTTTAAACTGATCTTGATGATTCCCGTTAAGATGGAAGCTTTGTTAAATTGAACTGATGAAAATATCTCAATACGTTCCGAAAATAATTTATGAATATTCGGTGCTAGTGAAGGATCTAAACGATTCGGCGTGTACGAGGACCAATTAGATCTATAATGATTCCTTGATGTACTCACGCTTAAAAAAATAAAGTTATGATCAATTAAATTAAACATCGGAAGTAAACGAAATTATAAATTTTTTCTGACGTATATTTATACCTATGCGTTTTCCGACTACTATCGCTACTTTTGTCAACTTGTCCGTCTACATCATCGTACAATGCGGCAACTTGAGAATCAATTGCCGTTATATCTTCAACGACTCTTTTCATCACGGTTCTTACTGTTCTTGGTTCCATTGTGTGCAACCAATCTCGTGTCTCAACAGATTTTCTTATTAACTGTGAGACAGCTACGCCTTGAATACGGACATAATGATTCAATAAATTTTGGGCTGCCATTTGAAAATTTTCACATATCTCCAATTCTGTAGTAATAATGTTCTTTGATGATGCGTATTGTTCGATATTAAACAGGTCATCCGTTGTTTTCAGCTGAAATATATAATCGAAAATAAATAAATAATAATTCGATAATTGAATGATACATATTAAATTTAATAAATGATTTCATTAGATTCGTTAAACGTACCAAATATCGTACATTACTCTCTTTGTACTCAATGCACATTTTGCTAAGTAATAAAAAGAGAGTTGGTGGAAACTTTGGAATATCAGAACCTGTACAAAATCCACTGGCAATTGCTGTTAGATTGTGCAAAAATCCAACAATTAATCCTTCTCTAACTTCATCCACGCAGAAATTATATAAAAACTGTGTCTTTGAATTAAATGATAAATCCGGTTGTAAGAATGCCTGTTTAAGTAGTAAATAAAAATTACTTCTTTTTTTTTTTTACATGGTACAATAAATCCGATTTTGTTCAATGTACGTCAAGTAAATTACAAACCAGTAAATCTTGTAACACTCCTTTAACTTTTTCAATAATAGGCATAATCAAAAGTGCCTGAAGTTCGGCCAATCCGTTATCCTCTTCTTGACTTAGTTTTCCTTTTTTTATTTTAACAGCTAATGTTTGTCTGACTTTAGCTAATGCTTCACTTAAATGTTCCTTTAAGGAATGCAAATGATTGCGACATTGTTTTCTTCCCGCATTTAAAACTATATCAATACTTGCTCTGAAATAGTAATAATTAATCATTTTTCAATTGTCAGAATTTATTTCTTATTGTATTTATGATAAAATTGTTGATTCAATTACCTAGAAAAATCAGTTTCTTGACAAGGCATATTTATGACCTGTAATCTTTTGTAAAATCTATCAAGAGCTCTAACTAATATTGCAGTGTCGGCTACATTTTCTACTCTTTTTCTTATAAGATCAAAATACTTTCCTATGTTTGTAGTAATAAAATCATTTAAACAAGTAACAGCTATTGTGTCAAAATCATCTGAGAATTTATTATCTTCTAACGGTACTGTATTTATAAACATATTATTATAAGATGCAACAATGAGACATAAATCGTTTAAAAATCCTGAACTACCCTTATCTATAAATTCAATCATATCATTTTCACACATATTCTGTAGTATATCTAATTGTTCCGTCAATCTGGTCTCTGCATGAGTCAAAAATTCTTTGCATAATAAATCAGGTGGTTCTTTTAATTGCAACAGAAGATCTATTTTTTCTACCAAAGCTTTAATTGGCACATCTTTCTTATGAAATTGTTCTCTTAATTTAAATTTTAATTCTTTCAAGATCTCTTCGCAATCCATTTGAATTCCTTGAAACGAAGGCATATTGCCGTATTGATCAAGTACACGTTGTGCGTTTATATAATCTTGTACTGCCTAAAACAACGTAAATACTTTAAATGTATTTACAGGATTATCTTGATATAAATGTTGCATGTTTGTTTTCATAACAAATCAATAATATTACTTGAGCATAATTTTCTTCGTTTATTTTCTCTTTCAGATTGCCCGGTAATTTAAATAGAAATTGTAATCTTTTTAAAAGAGTATGAACAGAAGATAGTTTAGCAATTTGTTGTCTAGTTCCTTGTAGAGTTGAAGAAATTTGTTCAGAAAATGATGTTATGCTATCCATTTTTTTAGCAAGTAAATCCATGCTATCTTCCATTCCTTTAAAATCAGTTTTCATCTGAAAATTAGTAAAATCATTTTTAATTATAATTTACAATTAATTTATAAATATTGAACTCTATTCGAATTACCTTTCTAATGGTATCTGTTGCTGAAATAAATTTATTATAATTCTCATATACTAACGTTTGCATATCTGAATGCAAAGTTTGTGTATCACTTTTAATTTCAGCTTCATGATCCATAATTTGCTTTAACGTACAATCCTGCAAAATATATATCAATTTAATAATAATAATAATAATAATAATAATAATAATATACTGCAATTTAACAAAGGTTTTAATTAACAAAACATAACATACTTTTAATAATTTTTTTAAGTAACTATCTGGATTAAAATTTTGTCCATTGATATCATACGGATTGTTAGAATTCTCTGCCATGTTTAAAGTTTTTATTTACTGTTATAATAATTAATAATACTTTTTAAAAGATATTTTCAAATTTAGCATTGATTTAGGTTAGTCACATATATAACATAGTTATATTCATCAAACACATATAATTGTCAATATGTGATGACGTCATAAACGTCATGCAGCCATCTTACATAACGTTCTTGCAGTATGACCAACCTGTGAAAATGTTTCCCTAGATAAATGACAAATTAATATCGACAAAATATTGTGAAATACATTTCTAAGTGAGAGATAGATAAGATATTAAAAATAATAGATACATTACACTATATTTATTTAAAAATAAATAAAATAGTGCATTAGTGATGATCAATTTTCTAAGTAATTTAATAATGCCGGCTTTTAATGTTGGTGTTAACTACTTTGTCAAACTTACGGATTTGCTATAATATCAATTTTCTATATATGGTGCAAGTTAGCAAATTGTTATTTTAACAAATAAGGTGCATTCTTTTACATACGAGACATTTTCATGATTACGTGCTATTTCTAGACAGTCGATTGGTCGTATGTGTTTATTATTTTGATTCCTTTAATGCGTATCCATCTAAAAGTTAAATAGAAGACGCTGTTTGATAGTACACGTAACATAACCAATAAATCAAGAGAATGAAAATATTTCAAAGAAAAAAAAATTGAATACATTTTTTTGTTATCAGATAATTAAGATTAAAAGATAAGTCTAAATACTTACAATAACACAGATTTATCTTACGAATTGTATTGATAATTTATTCAATGGGAAGTTTATTCAAATATTTTCTTGAGAGTAAATATATGCTGAGGAGAAAAATAATATATAAACATCCAATTCCGGTGATTTAAAAGTTATCATCGATGAATATCAAAAGCAAGTTATAGCAGAAATTTGAATGAATAGAAAATTGTAAGATTTTTTGAAAAAATCGAACATTTAAAAAAAAAAGTTTAAATGTCATAGAGACAGTCACGTCATTTTAATATCAAAACATTCTAATGAAGATGGTATTTTTTACTTAATGAATTTGAGCAGACATAAAGTCAATGAAAAAATGCCACATCCGTGTGTTGTCTGTGGACGTTCTCGTATGAATCCAAATAATAAAGAAGAAGAATATGTATTTTTTGGATTTCCTGTTAACGATGAGGAACGATGCAGAAAATGGTTAGAATTTTGTTGTCGTGAAGATTTATATAAGCTTACAAAGAAACAACTTTTACAAAGAATGGTATGTTCTAAGCACTTTGAACAGAAAGATTTTTTAAATGAGTACTACGATAAATTAAATACTACAGCAGTACCATCTATCTATGATCCATTACAAAGTTTGTATAACATTACATGTGTATTGTGTAGACGATTTCGTCGTGATCCACCTGATATAAATTATGACGGTGTTACTTTTCATCATTTTCCAGGAGAAGAATTTCGATGCTTGAAATGGCTCGATTTTGTTGGCGTTGATTCTTATTACAGATTAACGAGAAAAGAAATATTGTTTTGTTATATATGTTCTAAACATTTTGATCGTTCACAATTTATGCAAGGTTATAAAAGTAGATTAGTGGACAATGCCGTTCCTAATATTCGCAATCCTGATGACTTAGATTCAGCAGAAGAATATATTCTGGAAATGGATACAGAAACAAAAGTGTACAATTCGATAGAAAAGATTAAGAAATTAGAACCACTTCCATTAGCTGTTCTAGAGAGCCAAGCTTGTGCCGCATGCGGTAGATCTAGATCCGATCCAAGAAATAAAACTGAAAGATATAAGTTTCATCCATTTCCGGCTTATGAAATAGGAAGATGTCTAAGATGGTGCCAATTTTTGGGTAGAGAGGATTTATTGAAAATGTCTCCCAATCAAATACGAAAATTAGTATTATGTTCTAAACATTTTCAAACGGGTCAAAATTTTCATAAGGTTGGTCCTTGCGATGCAGTTCCAACTATAAGGGATGTTTCTTTAACACATTCTGTTAATTCTAATGACAATCTACAAGAGGAAGAAATGACAGAGGAAACAAATGAGAATTCTGGTTATATTGCAACTACTAAAAGATTAAAAAAATCAGGATCTTTGACGCCTTTAGTATCTAGTAAAAAACCAAAGGTAGATAATAAGCCAACACCGTTAGCAAAAAAACGTGGCAAGTGTAGAAGACCAACAGTAATTAACATTCCAAAGCCTGATCCCAACAACTTAGAAAATCTAATGGTCAAGAAACTACCTTTGCCTCCTACTTCAAATTGGAGATTTCAATATACAGATCAATATCAACCAATAACAATAACAAACAATATTACATCTAATATCACTAATACTATTCCTAATAATATAAAAAAAGTTATTTTACCTTTTACCGGTGACTTATCTAGTTTGGGTAATCCAATACCAGTGCATAGTTTGTCAAGCATTCCTCCTGGTTTCTTAATCAAAATCGATCTTCCAGAGCAGGAGAAACAAAAGCCTATGAAAACAAGTAAAAAGCAGAGTAAAAATAATTTACAAACAAAATTGAAAAATGGACAAGTCATTACTACTGTACCAATAATTAAAGAAGAACCAACTTCAGATAAAAATCTTATCGAATTGTTATCTGATTCTCCAGAACCTATGGTAGGTACATATAAGACATTAGAATTAGATGAACAAGATGAAGATCAAGAACAAGATCAACAGTTAGATCAAGACGATCAAGACGATCAAGATGATCAAGATGATCAAGATGATCAAGATCATAGGGATGAAGAAATTATGCTACCGCATGGTTTTGAAGTATTAGAAGATGATCCGGATGCTATCAATATTAAAGAAGATGACTTTTTTGAAAATTTTGAAGAGGTGGAAACATTACCTGTCAAACCTCAGAAGAGAATTCGCAATCGAAATAGAAGATTAACTATGAGAAGAACTATTTTTCCTATACAAAGTGAAGTTAATTATTTTCTTCGTAAAGTTGCTCCTCACATACATAAACTTCCTACAAAAGCGAGAGCACAGATTAAACTTTCTATTGTTAATATGGTGATCGATCACTTATAAGCTTTATAATTCATAATAATATTTTTTAAAGAAAATGATATATTGTACATGATATATATATATACAAAATGTAAGACCTTTTTCGTATAACAAGACAATGATTAAGTTTATAATTTACAAAATAGATAGATATTTATAGTCATTGAAATATTGACAATTATTTCGATATAATTTATGAAATCTTATTTTTATTCAATTGTAAAGACTTAGTTACTAATGTTATTATTATGTGCTTAAAAAAAGTTAGAAGATTTAGGTAGAGTCAAAAATTTTTATCCATTGAACGCTATATAACATTTTTTTTAATGAAAGAAGAAATGTAAAGTTTATAATTAATTTGCTTTTTAAATTTGTTGCCATTTGAATTATATATTATAATTTTCATGAAATTTATATTCTTAGAAAATAATACAGAAGTTACGTTTAATCTAAATCTATAAATTTTTATTAAAATAAAATATATAATTCTAAGTTTTTTTGATTAATAATAATTAAATTAATAATCATTAATTTTTTGAAATATGCTATTATAGAATACAAGTTATTTATGTAAAAATAATCCTCAGTTATAAATCGTAGTACTAATAAAATTAATAAATTCCTTAAAGGATGATACTTATTATATAATAAATGACATGTTAAACAAACGTTTATCTTGTAATAAAAAAGAAGAAAAAAAAATAACTTCAATTACTTTAAACTTAACGAAATGAATGATATATATTATTTTTATTTTATAAACTTCAATTTTAGAAAGTGAATATTCTATAAAGTTAATAAAGAAAAATAAAATGAAAGATTGTAGATATTGTAAAAAAAAAAAAAAACAACTCGTTATTAATGTTTATTGACTGCACTTTTTAAATATTTAATAAGGAAAATAATTAGTAGTAAGAGTATACTGTTCTGCCCAAACAGAGAAACATCCTTTCAATCTACCAAAGTTTGTTTCTGGTTCATCAGTCATTTTTACTGGAGTAAAGCAATAATCTGTTCCCCAGTTGATATCTTTTTGCTTTATTACTCTACCTTTATGAGGAAGCATGTCAGTTAAAGTTGATAAATCTGCAGATTGAGTATTCAATCCTGCTGTGTGCAGATAACTATAATTAGGACGTAAATTTCTAAAAAGAAAACAATACATGTTTATATTATCTAAACTTTGGAGTTGTTTTAAATAAGAACAATATTTTGGAATTCGTACTTTGGTGATATAAGATCTAACGATACTGGTTTCCACATTTGATCTATATTCGATGCATTAATTTCATCAGATTTACATTGAGCACAATGAACAATAGGTTTGTTAAATTCTTGGTTACATTGTAAATTATTTTTAATCCACAAAATTGAAGCTTGAACATTGGGATCTAATATATTTTAAAGTATTTCATATAAATCACACATATATTTATTGTTTTAATATAAAAGAGAATAATTTACCTATTTCAAATTTAGGTATCATAGGATTTAGTGTTCCAACAGTATATGGTTGAAATTTTTTTACAATTTCTGCATATCTAGCACAATTGCAGACTATGCCAAGAGGCTGTTTTAAATATGTTTCGTGCAGAATCATTTTATATTCGTAAACTGAGATGTACAATTTCCTCAAATATATGAAAGCAAGTATTTGTGAGAAAGAATAATTATTTTATCATATATAGTAATTAGAAATGTATATATATAAGCATATTATATACAATACATTTATTAAATAGTTGAGAAAGTTTAGTTGATTACAGCCTTAATTAGGTTTTAATTTACAATACTGTTATAAATACAATATTTACAAATAACCGGAAAGCATTATAATTTCAAATGAAAGTTCATTCTGTGATAGTCATCTGATTATACAAGATTATTTATAAATATATCTATGTTTCGTGATTAATTTCATGAGTGAATTATAGAGTAGTACTTGTTCCTATAATTATTGTTACATTATTCAAGACTAATACTAGTTTTAACATATTCCTTCAACTTATTTGATAAAGTTTGTTGTTTAGTTACAAGTAATATACTAGCGCAGTATTTTTCTATTATGCATTATCAAAATAAATTAGTGTAAGTGGTGTCTATTTCAAAGCCAGCTTCTCAATTTATTCATTAACATAGATAGTGAATATTTGGTAAAATATAACACTTATAACAAAGATATAAAGATTGCTAAGTATGCATATAAAACTTGTATTAAAATAATATTGTTTAAAAAATTGCATATTCTTAGAATTTGTATAGTTAGTTTGAATCCTATTGTGTTCTGTAAAAAAAAAAAAGAATGTATACGCATTAGAATGCGTTGAAAGTTTAATCGAGATAATCTTATCTGAAGTAAATGTTACTTTGATCACTATATTAATTCTTCTAAAAATTGCAATTATAAAAGGTGTCAAATATTTCGAATTTTACCAACACAAATAATTTATGTATTAAGACTAACTGCGTAAACTTTGTAATCTATTTTTCATTTCTTCGAGTTCTTTATCGTCATCGACATTCTCTGTATCGACATCTACAGATGTAGATGTAGATGGAACCACACCAGGAGTTTCTGTAACAACGGCAGGAGCTGTTCCAAGTTGTCCTGCGGTAACTTCCCATAAAATCTAAAAATAAAAATCAACAAATAATTGGTGTTTTATATCTAGTATATATAAATTTCTGTAAAGTGTAAGTGTGCTTAATTACTTTATCGACTTCTTCATCAGCTTCATCTTCCATGTCTTCAGATTCTTCTATAGAATCCATGGTTTCATCTAACATTTCTTCAATAATACCAGCTTTCATCATTTCCTTGGATAATTCTCTCATAGTAGCTGCGACTTCAGGTACTCTCACTAACGATTGCATAGCTTGCATAACTTCTGTCGACTTAGAAACGGAACCTGCAACTCTTATTGTTGCTAATTGATTTTTCATTTGTAAAGAGACAGAATTTAAGTGAGCCTTTGACGTATACAGTTTGTTACATGCTTTCCGGGCATGTACAATTTCTTTAGCAAGAATTTTACATACATCTTTGTCATTCTTTTTAGCAGCTTCCTTTAAGGAACGCTTTACCTTTTCTTCTTCTCTTTGAATTGCTACATGTAAACATAATATATACAGATAAAAGATACTAAAAATTAATAGTTATTTAGTTTGTCAATAATATGACTCACCTCTAACTTGTCTGTCTAAATTATAACCTTCTTTTCTTAATTTATGGGTCCATTCTTGGACCTGTAATAAAACGTAACTTTAATCAAATGTAATTGAAAGTAATGATAGAAATACATTTTATTAGATTTTGATCTTAACCATTTCTTTTGGATCTTTTTCTTGGGTTCTACCAAATAAACCCATCTTATAATAATTTGAACGTAGTTGTCAAATTTCGTGTAGACACACGCGACCTTGCATATATTGTGCTAGATATAATTTTAAATGCCTTCGTCACACTGTCAAGAAATACATAGTATGTTTAGTATAAGTGTTGCTTACCTGTTCATATCACTCTCTACATTACCAACAGTTGGATTGTGGCGCTAGCGTAGCCATTAGTTTTAGTTTCTTTTTTTAGTTTTTTAATATGTAGATCATGAGTAAGGTAAACAATTATTAATTCATTGATCAAATATAAATAATTATTGCCATACAATGAGAAAGAATATTGTGAAGTCAAAATGATCTCCATGAGGGTTCAAAGAAATTGCAGGAAAATTAAAAAATTCCTATATATATTCACAATTATCAAAAATTAATTAAAACTAGTTTGAAAAAGTTTTTAAGAAAACTTATTGTAAAATAATTTATGAAGGAATATATAAGGTATTTAGTATTATAATCTTTATTTTATTATTCTTTTAAATATCTTACAAAAGAATAGAAAAAGGAACATATATAATTTATTTACATATTACATTTTTATTGACAATATTTCTTTATTCGACAAATAACGTTCTTAACCAATTTACTAAACTTTTAAGTACATCAGTACCTTTATTTGAATTTTGTTTTATGGCACGTTGTTGTCTAAATGCTTCACGAGTTTTCTGCATCTTCTTAATAAATTTCATTCTACGAAAAATTGGATTATTTTTTGTACGTTCTTCATTTTCATCTTCATAAATATTTTCTCTTTCTTCTAGATTATCGTCATCTTTCATGATTTCGTTGGATAGGTCGATGAATTGTTTTTTTAATTTAACATCGATGTTATTTTTATCAATTTTATTGATAGATTTTAATTGATTAGGCATATCATTGTCTTCTTCCATATCGTCAAGATTTAATCTCAAATTATACGTTTTAGCAAAAGCTACTACAGGTAACATTACAATTTCGATATTATTATCATCTAAATCATTCAATTTTTTATTTAATATCGTCGATCTCAGAATTCGTTGTTTCGATGATTTAAATATTTGATCATCTTGGTCATTAAAAGCGTAATCATTTACATTGTTCATTTCTGTCGTACTTCTTTTTATCAAATGTATGTTTCCTTCGATTGGTACATAACAGGGACAATTTTTCTGTAAAACATTTTCACAAATCTTTTTTGAGATCAACAAAACGTACGAGCCATCTTTCAATTTTTTAATTTCCAACGGAAATTTCACATTTTCTCCCACGTAATACATCTCGGAATTTTGCAATTCTGACAAATCGTGTTTACCCTTATCGATTTCATTCAATTGATTTTGTTTCATTTTGTTCTCATAAGTGAAATTTTCTTCAGAATTAGAATCTTGATGAATGAAATTTTGATAAGTCGTAGAATCGTCATTATTGTTCTCATTTACATCTTTTTCATTTTCTCTGTTTTCCGAGCTATTATTTGTGATATCATCTTTGGATGCTTCAGAAACTATGGGATTACTTTCAGAAGGAGTATCCTTTGATTCGTAATAGTCAATTGTTGTTTGAACTTCTTTGCTAAAGTTAGTAACAATTTCTCGTGTATCGGCGTTATTCTCTATTTTACAAAGAGGACATTTCTTTTTATCTTGCAAGGATCCTTCTACGTTCTCCGAAGTGGGATTACCAACTCCAACAAAGGAATTTTGTGGTAACCTAAGTACTTCCGATTCATTAGTCTCAGCTTTATTGCTACTACTTTCATTCGATTGTTCTTCTGGCTTGGATATTCCAGGAATTTCTTCATTTATGTTAGCAACATTTCTCGTAGATGTTCTTTCAAAAAGAGGAGTTGATTCTCCTCCTCCTCTACTCTTCTGATCTTCTTCAACATTTTCCCCATAAAATTCAGTACTGGAAATGTATCTATCTGGAATATCATTTGAATAATTATTTGTTTCTATTTCATTTGCATTTGTAGAATACAACTCGGTTAATAAATCATCAGTCGTACTTTCGAAACTTTCCAATTGATTATTACCTTTCGTAGATATTGTAATTTCTGTCGTTGTTTCGTAATTATTTGTAGTTTCTATCATCGACGGATCTTTCGAATAATTTTGTTCATCGTACGAGTCATCATCTTGTAAAACACTTCCTAAAATATCTCGAATCATGTTCTCATCTATTTCCATATCATCAGTGTTTTCTATTTGATGTTTTGCAGTTTGAATGATTAAATTTTGTACGGTACTGTGTTGTCTAGCTGATTCTAAACCAATCGCAGGATGATAAATGAGACTCTTTAAATGTTCGCGTAATCTTTGAGAAATGTCATGATTTTTTTTTCTTTCAGACGATGTAAGTGGAAGAAGAGTCACCAAGTTGGTTGTCCAATGTCCTGAATGAAATTGATGTTCCTCGACGGTCATCGGTGGAAGTTCTGATTGCATATTTGGTAAGAGATTTAATGTATTTCTAAGAGTTTCTCTAATCACATTGCTAGATCCTTCATCGTGCAAAGCGTTTCTAGGTATTCCGAAATGTGTTGATAAGTGATCTTTCACCTTCTTAACGATTACGTTCTCGATTGGCGTTAACGATAAGAGAGATTGCAAATGCGGGATTCCAACAATCTCTGGAGATAGTTCTACTTTATCGGACGTTTTATTAAAGTCCTTAAGATCATCAGGATTTATATCCTTTGAACTGAAATGATTTATGACCGTTTTAATCGAATTTACGAGCTGTTTATTGTCGCAGAAAAGTAAATGATGTGTCGTCGATTCAACGTCATCGTTTGAAGTTTTATCAAGAGTTCGGTTATCAATGTTTTCATGATCATCGATAATCGTAACTGGATTTAAGGTGGTATCGAAGTTTTCAGATAATTTCATGAACTCTTCTTCGTTAGGATTATTAGTTTTATCATGATTTACTTTTTCAACTGTAAAATCATTGATCGTTGATTCTTCATCACTTTCTGAAGATTCTATCGGTGAAGTGATAACGTTTGACGAAGCATACTGATTTGAAATATCTGTCGGATAATCATAATCCGACATGGTGTTCTCTAAAAATGAATCGATCGTTGTCTGCTCGGATTTTTCTGTATTCGTAATTGGAGAAAAATCATGCGTGTCGTATTTTAAAGCTGTTTTCTTATCTGGATTATTATTATCGTCTTCTTGATTTTTGTTAGTCGAATGTTCTCTTCCTAACACATCGTCGTTATATTCTGTAGTTGTTTCATCTGTATTTACAGTATTTCCTATAATTGAATCGATTGAATTCGTGTAGCTTACAGTTGTTAAAACATCTTGCGAATTAGTTTGATCGTCCGTTATCTCTGGAATGTTTGTAGTTTGTACATTTGGTAAATCGTTAATTAAATTCGTCGTACTGTCCTTGGATAAATTATAATCGTAAGTAAATGGGTTGCTATTTGTATTAATTTCATCAGTGATGTCATCAAGAGAAGTAAGAGTCGTCGATAATTGATTTTCTTCTTGAGAATTTTGTGTTTCTCCAAGAAGAGAAATTTCAGTGGAATCCATGGTCGAATATTCTGGAGTGTTCGAATCAATATAGTTTTCGTCCGAAGTATAATACATCGTTGATTGTTTTATGAATGAAGAATCATCGTTCGAAGTTCGATAACTATCGGTTATAACATAATTCGAAGTTTCAGATATAATATCCGATGTGGTAAAATCGTAATAATCTTTGTTAGCATTTGCAGTCGATAGTTTCATAGTTATTCGATCATCATCATCATCAAGATCATTTTCTGTTATCATATTGGATTTTGTAGAATCGTAATAATCATAATTATTATCGTATGTATTTGGTTGTTCAACAGATGATGTATCGTAGTAATTAAGAATCGATCCGACCTTTCCCTCGGATAAGTTATTGTTATTTTTATTGAAAGATTTGCAAGCTGTTGCAGCAGCAAGCATGCATACTTCGCGACCGTACAATTCTATACATTGTAGCATATTTGCATCGAACGAATCCTCATCGATTTCTTTATCCGAATTTGGGTCATTCTCTTCATGGTCAGGATAATTCATGGTCGTCGAGAAATCATTGTTTTTCTTTTCTTCTTTAGGAATCAACGTATTCAATTTGTCATACATTTCAGATGGATTATTTGTCGCAACAACATGTTGCTTAACCGGTGTTTGTTGATTGTTCATTGAGTTTTGTTGATATTGTTGAGAAACTGGAGCATTAATGCCGATCGGAGGCTCAACTTGTTCATAAGTGATTCGAAAAGGTACGGTTAAGGGATAAACGTGAGGTGGTATTCCATGAATGATGGGTAAATACTGCAGATGCTCGTAATTTCCATAATTTGAATTTAATTCGTAAGGAATTGTTCCGTGTAATTTCGATGATAAACGTGATGGAATTTTCGATATTTTATAATTATTTGAATTCATTGCTCCTCGATATTTATCTCTTTTCAATTTATTTTTGTTTAACGAACGAGGAGCAAGCAATTTATTTCTCAATTGACAATCCTGACAATCCTCCTTTCGACAATAACATACTAATTTATGCGAATTTTCACGAAATTTTTGATCAAATGGATTAATCTGCTTAAAATCGGTATGGGGATTTAGTTCAAACGATTCCGCAAATTCGTCGTCGTCGTCGTCGTCGTCGTCGTTGTTGTTATTATTCTCGGTCGAGTCTTTTTGTTTATGCCTTTTACGAATTTCTTTGAACAAACTAATACCTACGTACGGTTCTCTTGTTTTTTCACCTTTTACAACAGTTTTATCCTTGTATTTTTTACTTAATGGTATATTCGTTGTAGTACATAGTGCCGATTTGCAAAGTTTTATTGCTCCATTCTGAGAGCTTTTCTCTGTTATTTTGTTATCAAAATTTTGGCGTTGTTCCTCTTTAATCGGTACTACAAATTCGAAGGATCTTTTAGTTCTTGCAAATTGCGTATCGTCATTCGAAGAATACGCATTGGTCTTCGATAATCTGTATTAAACAAAAATAAAAGCAAATCAAATGAAAATACATTTATTTAGTCAAATATTCGTCGTATTTTGATTCATCAAAATAACTGATGTTTGTTAATTGCAAATAATTCGAGTCCATTAACACACACTTTTTAATAACTACAATGTCTAATGAAACAATTAATGACTATATTTATGACTATAAAACAAAAACTTACTCCTGTTGGTTGTCATCATTGTTTAACTGTTTCGAACTAATAATAGCGATAGCACACATTAAATGAATAATTATGATTTTATACATTTTAATGAAATTGCTTTTTTTCTATTTATATATTTCGTTGCACTGCAATATTTCTGTGTGTTTTTTTCTTTTTCTCTCACTTTTACGTTTTACTGTGATATCTTTACAGGTTTTGCATTGAACTGGTTGGAAATGCACGCGATTACTATCCTCTTTAGCAATGCGATGCTTTTTTAAAAGCAATTTTACGATGAAGGTTTCGTATATCTGCAATCGTTGCATAATTATGCAACCGAATTATGCTTGATTAATAATAGTATTATGAAATATATAAATTCACGTCATTTTACGATGAACTGATTATCATTGTTTCAAGTAAGATGACATTTTCGAATTATTTTCATGAAATATTATTATTATTATTATTATTATTATTATTATTATTATTATTATTATTATTATTATTATTATTATGCACTGTGGATAACAATCTTTAAATACAATAACAATGTATAAAGTAAATATATTGATCGTTAATTACCCTTTCTATCTTAAATACTTTAATAAATCAGATGAATATTTATTTGAAAGCGTACTAATACGAAATAATTAAACGAATTAACGGCATTACTTGATTTACCTTTTTTTCTTCTTTTTTTTTTCTCTTTTTATTCAAATAAATATTACCTCTCTCGACTTATAATTATAATTTAAAATTAATTTGTGCGGGCCGCAGATACGCGGTATATTAAAGTTAAATTAGAAAAAAGGGGGATCGTAATAAATTATTGTCAAATATTATTTATAGATATTAGTTTTATTTCAACATTCTTATTTTGTATATTTCAAATTTTATAAACATGCGTGTAGTTTATTACAAATTCCGTGTTTTTGATTAATTGTAAGTATTAACGAGCTAATGTTGCACGATTTTTATTGAAAAAAAAAAAAAAAAAAAAAATATAAGAATGATATTATAAATATTATAATAAATATCAAATGATGTCATTGAAAAATTTATAATTTGTCATTAAATATACGAGTAAAGTTAAAGAAGAAAGTGAATAATTTTTGTAAATTCGTTATCATACTTTGAAAAATATTTTCCGTTTTCATAGGCGATGTTACATTTTGCAAAATGTTATTATTTTTATCATCTTTCGGTAAAGTCTCGTTAAACTTTTTATCGATGCTATCCGTGACTTGTTTCAAGGACGATTCTGTTAGGTTCTGCGCTTTATCAAATCCCTCAGTTATCATTTCTTGTAATTTGGGAATAGACCCTCGAAGAAACGATGATTTATTATTACCACCATTTGGTTGATCCCTTTGGCCATTATTTTTCATCACCAAATCGTGCCGTGAAAAATCTTTCCAAAAATTATCTACCGCGTTCGTCTCTTCTTTCCAAATCGATAATGGATTGAATTCCCAAACTTCTTCAAGTATCTCAGATTTTTTATTTAAATTTTCACGATCTATATCTTTCCATGGTGATTTATCGTCATTTTCTTTCATGTAATTGTATACGTGTTTTACATTTAATTTTGAATCGTCACGATTTATCTCATTGTTCAATATTTCTCTGTCAAATTTGGTCAATTCTTCGCTGCTAGTAGATTCATTTTCTTTCAGTTTATTATATTGTAAAAATTGATTATCATCTAATAAAATGTGATCTAATTTTTCCATAAGATCTGTATCTTTGGATAAAGGAATGGTGTTTTCGTCTCTTCGTGTACGACGATTAACATTAACATTTTCTCGATTTTTTCCAATCTCAGAAATGTCTTCAATTTTTTTCACATTTTCTATCAAATTTGGGATTATTCTAATCGAATAAATTTTCTTTCTTAGATCTTCTCTCATTGGTTTAGAATTGTTTCCTTTCAAATTCGTTGAATTATTAACAATATCATCAGATTTTTCTGATATTTTATAATCGGATTTCATTGTTTTCGCGGATTCGTCGTAAATATAACCAATGGGTATTTTTATGGTACGAATAATCTATAAAAGAAAAAAATCAATTAAAAGATTAATAACTAATGTCAGACATTTATTTATTACATAATAATAATAATAATAATAATAATAATAACATTCTTTAAGTAGTCGAATGAAAATTAATTTACCTCAGAATTATCCGACAATATTTCTTTCCCTTTACTTTGATAAACATTCCTTAGATTTTCGTTAGATTTTCTTTGATACTGAAACATCCATGGATTTTTCTCCTCTTTAGAATCGACTAAAGCGTAATATTCTTTATCAAAGGTAACTTGATCTTTATCGTATCGTTTACGTTCATCTAAAATATTATATGGTAATCTTAATAATTGAATTAATTTTGATTTAGCATTGAAATAACTTTTAGGTTCGATCAATTTTTCTTGAATTTGTTTGGAAGGTTTAATGACAACGATTAAGGGAATCAATTTTCTTTCATTTTGATCTATTGATCTTTCTTTTTGCAACATATCGTTGATGTGTTGTTTATTAATTAAAACGTATGGTTTTATTTTCAAGTCTGTCATGTTTTCTTCATCGTTTTTGTTATTTTTTACACTTTTCGATATTTCCCTTTTCAAGTTTATTTTCATCTTATTCTCATTAATTTTTGTTTCCTTCATCACGTCTGACATTTTATCCTCGTATTGATCAGCAGGAATCTTCTTCACCTCTCTCGGGACTAATTTTGATCCTATCATCTTCGATAATTCTCTACGTTCTCTGTGATTATGCTGATTTTGTTTTTCTTTTAATTTATGCGTACTCCTCTTTTCATTTTCATTTATTTTCTTCATAACGTTTCTTATTTGTTTTTTAATCCTTCTTGAAGATTTTTCTCGTTTGAATTCTTTTTTTGTAGTTTCGATTTCTTCTTTAGACGACGTGCTATTACTAATCCCGATTTCAATAGTTTTGGTCTCCTTCTTCGTGATGGATGTAATATTTTGTGAAAGATTCGGAATAATCTCAAAAGAATCTTTGTTATAATTAATCTCTTCTTTCGTTTCTTTGATTTGCCCCGAAGGGCCACGAAAAAATTTGCCTTTCTTTGTTTCGAGTTCATCATCACTAACATTTAATTCGTCTTCGAGAGTCTCTAATAATTGATTTCTAAGTTCTGTGTTCATTGCAGATGAATCATTGGTTTCATGATCATCCATTTGATCGAGTTCTGAATTAATGGATTCTACTAATTGTTCATCTAATTTTTCCAATTGTTCAGCTTCATAATTTTCTACGTTTTCATGACCAGATTCTGTAGTTTCTTCGTACTGTTCAGTTTCATCATTTTCTACGTTTTCATGACCAGATTCTGTAGTTTCTT